ATCCTTATTTCTGGTCGAAAACCGTAATAGAAGAAGGGCATACTTTTTGGATCAATAGGTGTTAGGATTTATTGGTGGAACTTAATTATAGTGATGGCTTTAGAAAATTATAGCAATGACTGCGAAATCTCAACCATTTATCCTGCTAAAAAAAACAGTGTCTGGGATTAGTGTAGGAATAAAATCAGAAGCTGGAGCCAGGAATCAACACAAGAAATCAGGGTTATGGTTATCTTCATGAGCTAACAGCTATAATTCATGAATTCTATTTAGCCTTAAAAATGAATGAAGTTCGGGGACATATTTCAGAATCACCATCTGGAATCTGATTATTTCGTTTCCACTCTTTAGCATCGGAGATGTCTCTCAGCTGAACTCAAAGTTAACTTTGCCGATGGAAGCATATAATTAGCCAAAGCATAAAACACTAGATAGTAGCCGAAATTGCTTAGTCTGGGTAAAACAATATCACGGGATTGTGACCAGTGAAATAATTCAGATATAAATTAACATCTTTTTTATGACAAGTACGTAGTGATCCAAGTAGACCAAGTATTTAGTTGCTTTGTTCATGTTCCCAGAACTCTATCTAGTAAGGATCTGAAGAAGTTTTTATTAGTTGAACTATGGCTCTCTTCTTTAACTTAATCTTATCCGCTTGTTGTTGCTTATGATATTTATGAATATATAAAGAATAAACAAACTCTTCTAAGTGATTTTAATTAATCTTTATTACAAAACTCATAAAATGACTTTCATATCAGTTTATCCTGGTGATTTGTGAAGGTTTCCACTTTAAAAGGAAACCTTTTAAATATCTAGCTAGAATTTCATTTATTGAAGTGAAACAAATTCATTGTTGTGAAGAATCTATTCATATTGCAAAAGGCAACTTTTTATCCACATTTCATAGCAATAATAATAATATATCTACAAACTATAACAATATCTAAACCCGATAAAGACTGTATAAAGTAATTTATGAAACACTCTCCAAATTAAAAGTTCATAAGCCTAAAATGTATGTAAAAAGTAAAATAATCTTACAAAGACTGTTCTATTCTTCATCATAGTGTACAAAATGATTCATTCGTTCTCTAAATATTATATATTCCTTCACTATTTAAAATAATACTGGTAATCTGAATATTAGTGTACAGATTGAATTTACTGTTAATATTATAATAATAAAATACAAGCATATAAAAAGTAAATAAACAAGTTATACTTACGAATACATCAAATTTTGAGAATATATTAACTAAACGACGATTAATTATTGAATCTACAACTGGTAAAGCAGTTACACAATTCTCTTGAAATAATAATAATGCATCAGCTAGACGAGTAGATGGTGTAACTAATAAAATGGATCCATGCGTTCCAATATTCAAATCGATTAAACTTGACTAAATTAAAAGAGAGAAAGGAAACAATACAGAAATTAAGTCGATTTTTATAAATATCTAAATAAAAAAATTCATTTACTATGAAAATGTGTTTTTTTTGCCATGGGGTAATGTAAAATATGTTATCATGAATTCTAATATACTTGGTTAATCAGTTTCAACTCTTCTTTGATTTATCATTTCAGTTTAGACTTTAAAAAGAAACTAGTGAGGGAAAGTTTTGAACATTTATTAGATCATTTACATTCACATGGCAACATAGTTAATTACTTGTTATCACAACTTGTGGAGATTTTAGTAAGAATTCACATGGCGATTTCAATCGATTGTCCATAAAACTGTGTATTGTGACCAAAACTATCTATCAAACACAGTTGCTACAATTCATATTACCGTAGTGAGGGAAACGTAATAAGAATAAAGTGAAAAGAGTATAAATGATAGTAAAACGTCGAGCTAGAAGAACATAGTTCAACCAGCAAAAATGAAATAAAAAAAGTGTATAACCATGCGTTCATCAGTGAATAGCTTCGAGAGGGAATTTTGGTTTGAAGCCGTGATCAGTGGAGTTCAACTGTGTCGAGTGTGAGACAGTCACTCAGCAAAAACAATTCAACACGATCGCTCAATATCGTGAATTATTTGAAGTTGGACTTTAACACCATTGGATACCAGATCAATGGTGAAGAGTTTAAGCGTTTGCGTATTTAGACCAAATGTCCTGACTTTTATTCCCGAGTGTGGAATCGTAGGTGGTCACTGCTGAGAAGTCCTGTGTTGTGTGGAAACGGTCGTTTGATGCTCCCAGATTTTGAATGGTGTTCTGAAATTGATCGGTTCATGATCTCTATGAAATAATAGTTTGAATGTAAGATTTAGAGAAAGATAGAATGAACTTAACTGTGATACCATAGTTAACCGTCAGTCATCTCACTCAACATATTCGGTTATCAGTTATAATTATCATGAATTACCAAGAGGAAATTTGAACCTCTTGACATGGCTTAGTCATACATTCAGTGGCTGCATGAATTGATTTGTTTGCCTTTGCTCATCTAACATGATCATGTATTATCCACCATTATAAATTATCTCAGTATTTGAGAAACTTATAACTGTGAACTCTGAAACACGGAGTTATTAAATGTAGCTAACATTATCTAAACACTTTCTTTCAGACGCATTAAATAGTTAAGTATTAAGTTTTTAAGATTCAAAAATCATAATCTGAGATTGAAGTGGAAATTTTCAATGAATTAACATTTACCAAAAGAATAGCAACAATGAAGATCGATTATTCATTGCCATATTTTCTTGTTTAATCTGAGTGAACGGAAAGATATCGAATAAATTCTATGAATCATAAGTAACGATAGGTAGATAAGACAACTAATAAAGTGCTACATACTACTAAGTTATATAAAAATGAAAACTTTTGTTTATCACCAATCTAAACCATTTTTCTAGATGATTCAAATTTATAAAATCTGTGTGACAAATGTACATAAATATTGAATCATTCATTTAAAGTGGATAACTTATATCTCTCTGTTATGTAGTAGCGAAGACATAAGTACGGGTAACTTGCAGGACCTACTATTGGACTATCATTCTTATTGTATAACTATTCGGTAACTAGATTATCTAAGCTTTATTTTGACCTATTGATTATTACTATATGATTTACTGTCCCTTTGTTATACTCAGTTTTATTGATTATTGTCTCCCACGCTTACAGCCTCATTTGGCCTGGTTTTGTACAAATATTATTTTCTATTTTATGGTGTGGTGTGGTCTGCCTGTCTGGTATATAGACAAAGTATGCTTGAAGTAAACGATTCGCATTACAGCAGCTGCTATTGGTGTTTTGGACTCAGGTGGACGGGTTAGGCGGATAAGGACCAATAAGGACACTAGATTACTCATACTAATCGAACGTCATTGTCACAGTGTGAAGGTCGTAGAAGGCGTATTCTATTGGTGGATAATTTACGCGAATTACGTCCTTGTTAAATTCGTAAGGTCATAACGAATCAGCGACGACCTTGATCAAGTCATAACAATTGGCTACTGCCCAGGTCAAAAACATAACAAATTGGCGACGGCTAGGTCAAGTCATAACACTCTATCAGATGTTAAAAGTATATCCTACCTAATCTTTATTAACCTGGATAGAATGTGGTATTCATGTTTCAGTTTTATTCATGTTTAACTAACAAAATTCTATTTACTGTTTGATAGTTTATTGCTTGGTGTAATTCATCTCGTTTTTTGAAAGAACAGCTGTCGCAAAATGGGAAAATTTCATGTACTAATTTTTGAATTTTGTTACATAATACATACTACATGTGCTGTTCCTTATGAACTGAAATATAATCATGAAGTATCGACTATTTACATACACCACAGTGGTAGCAGTAGCATACACCTGACTTCATGATGATGGAAACATTTATGTTGATGATTTTTTAACGAAGGTTATGTTAGCCTCATAACTGATCTATTCAGTGGAAAAGATGCAATAGCATCAAATACACTTGACAATCAAATCGCCAGTATATTGATCAAATACAGTTAAGCAAAGACACAGTGTTCTCTAAAAAAGTAAACTTCCTAGTTATTTAAACGTTTATGTAAATGTTTGTGGTCTATGAATATTCATCTATCAATAAGTAGTCCATAATACATATAAGGACTTTGTAAACACGGAATAATTATTTTAAGAAGTTATCATTTAAGGATATTTTAGGGTAAAATCCCTACTATAATAGTCAGGTTTTATATCACATACTGTTTAGTTAATTAAACTCGCTAAATTTGATCTATAAACCGGGTAAATTTTCAGGAAGTTCAATTAATGTTAAGAGTTTTAATTCCCCCCAAAAAAAACTGATTGACTAATGCATGAGAATTCAGTAGTAGAATAATCAAGCGTAATTATTTAACAGAAAATCGATCACCATTAGAACAATCTTCAGGCTTCAGTAAACAAACAGGAAACTATTCAAACCATGAATGAATACAGATAGGTAACCTATTCTTTCCTCTGGATTAGACTTTCTTTGTATATTTACGTTTGAACAGATTTATAAACAATGTGTTAAAAGATTACTTTACTGCATCAATACACTTGTTAACTAACTTTTAATTTAGAATGAATAATAATCTACAAGAAACTGTCCTTTTGCTTTGAATCATTCATTTAGATATATGTTTATTGGTTAACTGTCAACCAACTAGAAGAAAATAACAACATTTGCTTAGAACTATGCTTGATCTCATTGAAAGATATCATGATTGTCCACATTTAGCTTTAGTGTAAAAAGAAACAAAATTTCCATGAACTGATAACTAGTTGGTAAGCAGTATATTTTTTAATCCATACCCTTTATTGTTTTGTAACTGACTTTTAAAATTAAGTTATTTAGGGAATAAGAAAGTTGATTTAAGTGATAAGAGTATTTTGTTAACTATTAAGTTACATTATCTAGGTTCTGTGGTTTTCAGTTTTAATCCTTGAAGATCTATTTAGGACTCGGTTGAATTTGAACCCACCTTGTCACACTTTAGAGTTTTAATCATTAACTTTCGATTGGCTAGAAATTATGCTTCATTATTGAAATTAAACTCTTAGAATTAAAAAAAGAAACTAGTATTAGAAATGATAACTTACTTGTAAAAATCTTGGTTGAGGCAATTTATTCAATTTTTCAAACATATACATCAGTAGTTTACGTTGAGTAAGTACATACAATATATTACCACATCCATCAAAAGGTGAATCCATAATTGGCAAATGATGTAATCGATATCTTAACAATAATCGTAAAGCTTTAAAAATAGATTCTTCTGGATCACAGATAAATAAACGTGCGGGAAAAATATTCTGTATTGGTCTATTCAGAAAACATAATGTTTGATTATTTTTATTAATAGAAGTGTTATCACATTGGATTCTCATTTCCATATCTCCATCATTGTTTTCACTATCGTCCAATGTACATTTTATTGTATTTTCAGACAAATTTTGATTTGACATGGTAGATGATAATTGTATTACTGGAAGGTCTGAGGACAATGACTTTGTACTAGAACGACTGCTGCTTCTTCTACTACCACTACTACTACTATCACTCCCTCTGTCATTACTATTACCGCTATTACTATCACTGTCACCATTACTAGATGATGAACGTGAACTTGATGACGACGATGATGTATTGTTTGACGGTGGCCAAGATGTTAAATTAATACTAGTATGCAATTTATTCATTGATTTGTCCACATTTTTACCAGTAGACGATGTAATTTGTAATGATAAACGATGTGTCCTATCGGCTATGAGCATATCTGAAAAAATATTATATATATATTTTTTTTTTTCAGTCATTTTAACTTCAATGATTATTATAAAATTTATTTGAAACATTTTTATTTTGAATAACCGCTCACGTGTGGCCTTGAAAAAGTATAAATGAATGAATAACTAATTACCGGATTATTCTTTTAACTAATATCACTCATAACTGTATAGAATTTATAAACCGATCGTTTTTTTGCATTCTATATTCGTTTTGTATGTAAATAATTGATTTCCATTATATTATGAAGATCAAAACTAATATAAACAAATATGTTACTCAATAATAAGATTTAAACTGGTTACAGACAGTTGATGTTTATGCATGACACTGTAGGGTGGGTAATGTTTCTTGATGAAAGCGCAAGTATTGGTAGATAATGGTGATAATCATAATTAGTTAACACTATTCTAGAGATTTCAAACAAACTACATTCCATCATTTCCAGTAATATAATTTAATATCATATTAAAAATTATTGTTCGTTAACTAAAAGGATTTAGATCATGAATCGATCGATGTTAGGCTACCATTGAAAACCTGGAAGCACTGAACAGTGATTGGATGCTGACTCAGTGGTCTAGAAGTTAGGCGTTTGTGAGCGGAATCGGAGGTCTTGGGTTCGAATCACACGTGCAGGGTCGCGGATGAGCTCTGCTGAGGAGCTCCATATTAGGACGAAATGGTCGACCAGTGCTTCCAGGTTTTCAGTGGTGGTCCTACATCAATCAGTTCATGATCTCAATCAAAAACTTAACAATTTCCACAACCTCATACTGAGAAAAGGATTTACGTAATCACTTACTTTTATATTATATAAGCTATTTCACTTAGATATAATCTCGTTTGTTTGTATATGGCGTTATGTAAAATAAACAAGACGGCTATTAACCCTAGCATATGTGTATCGTTCGTAAGTACTATTTGATTTGAAAACATAATAAAAAGTGAAGATTGAGTTCAGTAAGCATCCGTTACTGTTTCATTTTGAGTTTTACTGAAGAATTAGCTCCAATAGTCGAATAATCGAATAACTTGTTAGGTCTATGAGCTAGTTACAGCTAGTATCATGATCATATTTATAATCACAGTGTAGATCGAGTTTGTGGTTGATCACTTACGGTACTGATATGTTTACATTGTTCGATCCCTTAGTGACTTTTTTCATACTTCCTTAATCAGTGAATGATGCTACTCCGAATACCTGACTTCAATCTGAATTTTGTTTATGATGTTTTTTTAAAATAACAATTAAAGCGTGGCGGTTAAATTACCCAGCTAAAAGAATGTAACTCTACGAAAATCGTCCACCTGAGCTAAAAGCCTTCTTCATTATCTGAAAGTCGAATTCCATAAGAAATATGAATTGCATTAAGGATGCAAAAATCTTTAACAAGCTTGTTAGGAACAGCTTATATGATAGCATAGATATGTGAGCAAAGGTTGAAACACGATCATTTTCATAACTAGTTTTTGCCCCCAAATGCGCTGGTACGGCTGAGAGTGGGGAAAGCCTGCTCTGCCTCTCGAAATGCTCTCACATGGCCACGCGTATATAGCCTATGCCAGGGAAGTCCTACTCACTACCTTCTCGTGGCATTACTGTTGTTTACGAAATTGAGAAGATGAAAAGCGAATGTCCGGCGTTTTAACAGGGTTCTTGGACACGGTAAGTTCACCTTGGGGAGTTGGAAAACCCTGGTTCCAAACCAATGGTGCACATGAGCTCCTGTATCCTGAGGGAACAAATGGCGTATGAATCAATCGTTGATCACCGGCTACCATGGGACTGCATCTCCTCACGATGCTCCACTGACTTGTGGATCAGACCTTTAGGTCAAAGGCTCCGGCTGTGGTCCCCTAAGAAAACCACCTGCTTTAGTTTGAGCACCTGGGCAGTATCACAGCCCTCAGACAAATCAAATGAGATTTGTGCGGTGCATATATATCTGGTGCCCCCTTTGTACCAATATTTAGTTATTTAAATAATAATAATAATCATAACTAGTTTATTTGGATACAGGTTAGAAACTTGAATGTGTTTTTTTTTATTTTTGCAAACGAAATGATCTGTTTTGTATTTTCCGATGAACGAAGAATAAAACAAGATTTTTTTTTACCGATGTCTTGCTATTCAATACCATTAACCTGATCAATGTAATAATATATTAGGATTTACAAAAACCTGAGTTTTGTAGATTGGTAACTACATTTTTTATAACTTTTGTTCTGAATCATCGAGTAAATGAATTGGTAAAGAAAATAGACATGTATAAACTGTCTGATTCATTTAACAGTTAATAATATCTGAAAATTATTTTATGATTAGATTTGCCTTAATTTATCTACATACATTCTATAGATACATTTTTAGGCTTTATTAGTTGGTAAATGCAATTTTTAAGATTATAACATTTCTGATTCACTATTTCACTATTGTCTCTACCATAAACAAATATTTAAGGGAATATACAAATTCAGTTCTAAAATAGTTTTGAATTGTTGTGATCAATGAAGTGTTTGGAATCTGAATTAGTTTTCTCGTACAAACACTAGATTGAATAAAAATATGACATACTAGAGAAAATAGTTTTTGGATGATATATATGTATATATATAATTATTGATTTTATATATAGATGTATGTAATAGCAGAAGTAATATCAGTTTTGGCTGATTCGATCAAAATTCTTTTATAAACATATCTCTGAAATTTCGTCTTTATTGCTAAATATTATCTTGAGTGAGTTTTAAATGCTTTTCCCATGTGCAAACAAAATCTTATATATAATTTACGAATTTTAACTTGATGAAAATTTTAAGGAAGTTCATAGAGAACTCAGTAGCTGAGTGGATAACGCGATGGCGTTTGAAGCGAAAGGTACTGGGTTCGAGTCCCAGATTGAACATCAACTCTGAGATGCAGATACATCCAGCTGGCGAGTCCCAAATAGAACGAAATGCGCTTCCTGGATTCCACTGCTAGCCATTATCCACTTTTGCTTATAAATTGATGATAGTTTATTTTAACTACAAAAGCATTATCAATGAAGGAAAACTAAACATTTGTTTCATAATTTGAATGAGATCTTATACGAATGCAAAACATCATATAGCGAAATGTTAAATTTGGAACCTTTGATTCTCGTGATGAGCGCGTTAATCGTTTAAACAGTTAGCTAATATCCAGTGCCTTACAGTTAAGATTTCTGTCCATTTCCAATTGTTTGTATTAGCCTATTTTGAGTCGCATAATAGTAATTCAAACGATAAGGAAACTTGTAAAAGTGCATTCTATGGAAATACGTTACCAGAAAACAATCTACTATTTTATATATCAGTTAAAAAGAAGTAAATAAATCGGATCTTTTAAATAGTTGAGTTTAAATAAAACGCTGATTAACTTGATTCATAAAGTCAGACGACTACCATTAAACTGAAATAATGAACCCATCAATTCTAGAACACCATTCAATATCTGGTAGCATCAAACAGCCGTTTCCACACAGTACGGGATTTCTCAGCAGTGACCACCTACGATTCCACACTCGGGAATAAAAGTCAGGACATTTGGTCTAAATACGCAAACGCTTAAACTCTTCACCATTGGTCTGGTATCCAATGGTGTTAAAGTCCAACTTCAAATAATTCACGATATTGCGCGATCGTGTTGAATTGTTTTTGTTGAGTGACTGTCTCACACTCGACACAGTTGAACTCCACTGATCACGGCATTAAACCAGAATTCCGAGAATTCCCTCTCGATCTATTAACTAGTGAACACGTGATAATTATCATTGAAAGGTTCATGATTTTAGTGAAACTCAACAGTTTCCACAATTTAATACTGATAATAACAATTTATTTTAAAAACTGAGGTTGCACTCCAAGTATACTAAGTATTGAGAACGAATACTGAAAAAGCACCTTTCTTTCAGGCTGCAATACGTAAATATTTTATTGTTGAAATAACATATTTAATGCTATATGTGTATAGATTCATAAAGTCATTTATAGCATAATATGCATAAGAAGAATGACTTTGAAATCACGTTTATCACATGTAGATATAACACGCGATTTATTCCTATAATAATCCTTTATGAAGTGATAAATATTTCCTTACAACTATGACCTTCGATATAGATAAACAAATATGTTTTCAAAACTAATTGTTTATAAAAACGGTTAGATAGTGATTTTAAAACAATTAGTCCCTTTGATAAATTTCGATAATGCAATGAGAAGACGAAGATTATCAGAATTATGTGATATATTAGCGCAATACATTTCGAACAATCTGATCACACATATACTTGTTAAGACATTTTTTATATGAAAATTAAAAGGTCAACTAGACAGGTTAAGGTAAGAAAATAAATAAAGTACACAAAAACAAAGTGATGACTACTCTGGATAATAAATAAGCATTACCAGGGTAGGTTAAGGGTAAGAACACATTGTTTTTGAACACATAAAGGGGGTTTCAATTTCCGTATAGCCAAGGCTTCAATAAACCTTAGTATACGTCCTTGAAGGCTTTTGTACAACACTACAAATGCTGATTTGATGTCAACCTTATGACCAGTTTCAACTAAATGTTTCGCAATAGAGGAAGATGTTTGTCTGTCCTGTGATCTTATTTGACTATTCGAATTCATTTGGTTCTGTAGCCATTTAGGTATGTGTTCCACCACCCTTATTTGCAAATCACGATTGCTCCTCCCTATGTACGTGTTTCCGCACATACATGTAAATTGGTATACACAATGGGATGTGACACAATCGCTTATATGCTGTCTAGGTTTTTGGTGAAATATCGACCTTGTCTTTTCAATGATGACAAGTTGAGCTGCATAGAATGTCCTATTTATGGCTAATTTTAGTCTCCGTCTTAACATGAGACTATTAGAGTCACTTCTAAATGGTAATGTAATATAAACTCGCTTTTTGGGTGCCAGAAGCGTAATAGGTCTAATTGTATTGCAACCCTTCCAGCGGTTTATGAACTTAAATGAATAACCGTTATTCATTAACGTATTAGTTAGACGCTTCGTTTCTATTTCAATAGTATCACTAGTACAAATACGATTGATTCTATTGAATAAGCCCTTAATTAACCCACGTTTGTAATGAATTGGGCAGTGACTATGGAAATTAAGGTATTGCCCCGTCCATGTCTGCTTTCTATAAATAGAACGTTGGATGGAACCATCTTCTCTTCTACTGATCAGTATATCTAGAAAAGGAAGTTGGTTGTTCTTCTCTTCCTCGCACGTAAGAGAAATATGCTTCTGACTTGCATTGAGTTCTTTTAACAAGTGGTTCAAGTCTTCACATTTATCCCCTATGATTATGATATCATCAACGTATCGTCTATACAGACACATCTTTTGGATTGAGTTTTCAGCTAAATTTTCAACATACCCCATGAACACATCCGCCAACAACGGTCCTAAAGGACTACCCATAGCTACGCCATCAATTTGTCGAAAGTGCTCACCTTGAAATGTGAATTTTACATTGTCAGTGCACAATAATAATAAATCTTTAAGAGTTTCAACAGGAAATGGCAATGGAAGATTATTAAGTGAAATATAGTCACATAAAATATCAATAGTTTTTCTCAGGGGTACATTTGTAAATAAAGTATTCACATCAAAAGAACACATTGTCTTTGTTTTTATATTCATATCCTTTAAGTATTT